AGAGAGAGAGAGAGAGAGAGAGAGAGAGAGAGAGAGAGAGAGAGAGAGAGAGAGAGAGAGAGACGGGAGTGGTCAATCGGGAGAAGATATTGCGAGGAAGCAGGGAGCTTTAGCCGGGCGATAGAAAATGGGACGAAGAGCAAGTGAAGGAGACCTCTTTGTGTCGGCTGCGCCCTTCTGAAGTCCAAAGCATGGATGGTCAACGGGTTCGGACCCTCTCGGTGGGGTGTATCTTACTACCGTTAGTGAGAAGGATCACTAATGCTTTTTCTTTCTCCATGTCACGGATGAAGGAACGATTACAATTGCCCCTAGAGCCTAGGTATGCTGGTCTTCTGGGTGCTTGCAGCTGCGCTGGTTCCAGCGATGCAGAATGGAAACAATACTGCCCAATTTGCGCACATTTTGTTGAATGCGATCAACATACTCCTTTTCTTGTCATAAACGTCCTCGCTCCACTACTAATGTGCAATCCGAATGAATCTTCCACTAGAACATGGAAATATACGCCGCCATATTTTCTATCTTTTGTGCATGTGGTGAGTAGTGGAGCGAGGGCCAACTACGGACAGGCATCGTCTTAGGCTCGCCTGGATAAGTTTATGTTTTTTTTAATCGGACAATCATTACATTATAAGGAGTTCTAGTCATAAATGGGTTAGTCCAATTTTGATTAGAAGATATTTGTTATAGGACGATGAAAGTTTAATTAAGACATCTCATAAAGTCATCCAGACTTTCATTCCATCTTCAACAAATAGGGCCTCGTTATCGAGTCGTTAGACCCTCCTTCGAAATCCGATTTTTAGGAAATAGACGTCGTTACACCACGTCCTAATTCACCAAATTCCTTGAATGAATGTGAAAACGCTTCTGAGAGATTTCCTTTGGTTCCTCGGAATCCCCATCCAAAATGTCCTTGGACACAAGGGGTCCTCGCGAGGTCCCTTGGGTTAAAGGAGCCGCAATTGACAGAGTGTTATGGAGCGAGCGCCGACAAGAGAATCTGTAGTCGATGTCGGTGCACAGGTCGTTGTGGTCCATTGGGCGGACATCGCCGGCCTCCTGTACCCGATGGCCCCCCAACCACTAGTGGTTAACGGGGACCCCCATTTTCAGGTCCTGACCAACAAACCCAAAACTGAAATTAGGGTTTGGGGGTCAAGGTTTGGATGCAGCAAAAGTGGTCTCATTTGGAGCATTGAAATTTCCTCTGCTAAGATTTTTGAAATTTCTCAAGATTTCTAATATTGAATGTTGGTGAAATTTACATGAAAGTGCACTTTTGCCTCACTGTTTTATAGTTTTTTATTTTTTTTTGTTCAATTCTTTTTTTGCAATTAGTTAGTATGGTCCCCAGTCTACGAATTGTTGGCAAGTTTGGATAAATGGCTCTTGGGTTTTATTATAAATGACATGATAAGATGTCTGAAAATTTAGGTCTCCGTTAACCATCTCTCCCCTCAACGGCCTTCCACCATTACCGCATGGGGGTGGTTCTTCAGCTGCAATGCGCTTCATGAAGCGGGGTTTTCCGTGTCCGCACTGCCGGCCGTGGTGTCGAATTCTCAAATTTTTTAATTTTTCTACAGGCGATGTTGAAACACTGTAGCCGATTGCAGTCATCAGCCTAGCGTGTTTCATCGGCTATTGTCGGACACATTTATTCAAGCTTTGTTTGGTACACGCTTCGCGTGCTGCGATTCATGGCAGACGACCTCCGACGGTTTCCGCTCCTGCTGCTGGCCACTCTTCTCCTGCTCGTTGTCGTGTTGTGCCACGTGTGTGTCGTTGTGCCAGGTCCTGGCAGGACACGGAAACGATGAACGGTGACGAAGACGACGATGTGGTCCGACATCGAAGGCGCCCTATAGAATGTCACCCTCTGCTGCAGATGAGGGGACAACGCCTCTACAATCTCCCGGAACACTCTAGGGGACATCCACAACTTCTCATTGTAGTCAGTGTAGTCCCCCGTACGTCATATGCGGGGTCTGCGTACGGCCTGTGCGTACGGATGTACGAACGGGCGTACGGTCGTACGGACGGGCCCTGTCCGAACGTGCCTGGGCCCGATGGGGGGGCCGAACGCGGTCGAACGCAGACACACACAAAAAAAAAAAAATCAAAAAAAAAAAAAATCCGAAAAAAGATATGTTATGAAGAAAAATAAATTAAACAAGATTTGCCTGAGCGTTACATCCAAATTCCTTACCAAATTTGAAATAGAAATAAAATACGAAAAACAAATACTAATTAAAAAAACAAAAAATAAAAAAAGAATTAAATTTAGTGAGTGCACGAGCACATTTTCGACACCGCCATCTTTGGCTATTTTTCATTTTTTTTTGGCATAGGTAACTGCCCTGAAAATTTACAGATGTGTACTGCACATAATGCAAAACCCACTAAAAAGTTCCAAGAAATAATAAAATTGTTTAGACCCCGAACTCAAGTGAAAACAAAAAGTAAAAAGCTGCGTAGCACGCCGAACGTGTTCGCGCCCCTTCACGTTCGGGTGAACGTGTTCGCGCGGTCGCGCGAACAGCTTGCGAACATGTTGGGGCGAACATAATTGTTTTTCCATTAAAAAAAAATTAAAAAAAATCATACTTGCGGCGCATTGCGATGCGCTGTACTGCGCACGTGCGCCGCACTGCACTTCCCGCACGACGCGCGCGCACTGCATGCGGCGCACCTCCAAAAATGGGGGTCAAAAAAAAAAAAAAAAAGTTGTGAGGGGCGGTAGTAGACCCGGCCCCCTGCTCGCGTAAAATAAGAAACGGGCAGCCAAATTTTTTTTGAAGGCCGCGCGTTGGCCTGAAAGCTTTTAGTAACCTGTAGTCGGGGTAACACTCTGTGTGTATTGCAGTCTGTATGGTAGGGTTCTTGCAGGCCAGATTCAGTCATGTTGAGGGTCGCGATCTCTCAAAACGGTCTCTTCTTTATTACTTCTGAAGTAGAAAACGACGGAACTGACAACCGTTTTTCCTGGGATTTTTTTTTTTAATAAAAAGAAAAAAATGTAAGGGAAGAAAATCAGAATTTCTTTGCATGAGTGTCGCCCGGCGCGTCCAACCTGTCAGAACCTCAACGGTAAGTGCAGTCTGTATGGTAGGGTTCTTGCAGGCCAGATTCAGTCATGATGAGGGTCGCGATCTCTCAAAACGATCTCTTCTATTACTTCTGAAGTAGAAAACGATGGAACTGACAGCCGTTTTTCCTGGAATTTGTTTTTTCAATAAAAAGAAAAAAACGTAAAGGAAGAACATCAGAAATTCTTTGCACGAGTGAAGCCCGGAACCTCAACGGTAATGTTCACCAACGGGCTCGCTGCACAACTCTCGACATGCACAGCAAGACAAAAATATTGGCGGTGTATCTTTCCATATTCTAGCGCAAGATTCACTCTCGTTTTGCACATTTCCAGAGTAGTGCAGCGAGGCCCATATATGGCAATGTATCTTTCCATGTTCAAGTGGAAGATTCAGTCTCATTTGTTCAGAGATTCTCCAAAAAAAAAAGAAAAAAAAAGGTTCCAGAGATACGTTACGTGCTTACCTGATTCATCGGCCCTTCGCTCTCCACCACCCAACGTATGAATGAATCTTCCACCAGAACACGGAAAGACACCTCGTGCGCACTTTCGCACATGTACGCGCGCAGTGTCACCGCGCGCAGTCCGCATGGCGCAGCGCAGTGCACCACATCGCGCACCGCACAAATGCGCTGCAAGTATGCCAAAAATCTGAAAGCAGTCCCAGAAGGTAGCGACGTTCGTTACTGCTTCAAAACCGCGGTGAGGTTACTCACCTGTAAGACTACGCCGTACATTGGCTATTTTGTCCAGCGCGACGTTGTCTGTCGCATGATGTTGACGAGAAACATTCACGTCTGATATCCGACGCGGAACTGTGATGAACTTTTCACAGTTCCCGGTGTGCTCATCTGTGAGCATGTCACTGCGGCCTTTCGATTCTCACAGTGATTCCACCTGCTGTCTGTCCTCCTGTACCTGACCATACAGCCCTTCAAGGTGCGTGGAATAAGGTTGGTCAGGTGGGTCTGAACAACGACAACAACGAAAAAGAAAGACGCATCGTGGTAGTGACGGTTCCGCATGTGTGGTTATCATAGGGGGGGGTTGCAGTTACAGGTCAGACTCGACCAGCGACTTCCCCCGAGTAGAAACTACGGAGATTATTGGTGGATCTAGACTGAATGTTGCCCCAAATACAGCTGTAATAACCGTAAGATCTTATTTGGCGGATGACGGCAGCTTGGTGTGGCGGTGGCTCCCTCCATCATTAAGGTATGGCGTACTATTGTCCTGTGTTCGCTCCAAAGGAAAGAAAATACCGGCGTTAACTCAGGTTACTCTATAGATCTGCCGTTCCAGCTTACGGGCTTGTTGAGGTAGAAGTGGGTTGAAACTTTAAAGCTCCTTAATTAGCAGTGGTAGAGTTAAAAGTGGGTTGCAGCTACGTACAGTGTTAGAGCAGCTAAAACACAAAACAAAAAAACGAAAAAATTCTGACAAAAAGTCGTTCTACTCTGCATGCGTATCTGACAACAAATCCGTTTCTTTCCCCTTGTTCTCTGTCCGTTGTCTATTTTTTTGGTCTATTTTTTTTGTCTATTTTTTCTAACAGGTTGGCTATATTCTTGGCCTGGGAGATAGGCATCCTAGTAACCTCATGCTAAATCGACACAGGTCAGTTATTGCACAGTCGTTTATTTCAAATTATTTGTTATTTTTCTA